ATTATCGGATGTAATCTTAACAGATTATATTTTTCTTCTTATCCTAATTTAGTCTATATGTTTTGTTTTAAAAGAATACAGTAATTTACTAATTTGAACATGAAAAAACGGATGTTTTTGAATAGAATAAAATAATCTATCTTAAAAAATAATTATAATTATTATTTGTACTTTTCTTAAAATAAGAGAAAAAAAGAAGAAGAAGAAGATAGACAATAATAATGTCTGACGATAGATGTTTGAATTATTATGTTGAATTAGACTCAACATATACATTTAAATAATAGAACTATTAACATTTTCATACAAAAAACAGACAATTCTTTAATAAAAAGAAGATAATTGTGACGCAAACCATTACCGTTCTAATGGAGGAATTATTTACTTCTTTTTTTTATCTCCTACCATATTTTCTCATGCATTTTTCTAATTTGGAAACAAATTTCTTTTATAATAAAATTGTGTATATATTATAAAAAGTTAAAATATCTCTGATGTTCATATTGTTTTTTTAAAAATCTGTTCAAAAAATTTTCACATTAGACTTGAAACAGGTTGAACCTCATAGTTTATCTTCTCATCAAACGTATGAATAACAACATTTGTTCATATTATTATTTTTCGATGAACTTGTTTTGCTATTTAAAGTTTATTTGAGTATGATAACTTGAACATGATTTAAGAGTATAAATGAAATATGATTATGACAACCGGTCGCTCGCTTTTGTTGATACTTCTTATTTTTTTGTTCATCGTTTGATGTCAATACCATTATCTCAATTTTCAAGTGATTGTTATTTTTTTTTTTTCTTTTCTCTCTCTGTCTTTTTCTCTCTCTCTCTCTCTTTTTCTCGCGCTCTCTTATAACTAATCCCTCAAACCACTTGTTCCTGTCTATTTGCCGGTTCACTATACATCATTGTCCACTCAAAAATGAAATGAACATTTTTATTTTGTTTATGTGATATATGAAAGGTGTGTACAGTCGTCAATCATAACACATTGTATGATTTATGAGTATATTTTATCAAAAATATATTATTCGTTAATCGTAAGAAACAAAACAAAACAAAAAAAAATGTTCATCGTATTAAATTTGAACTGCTAATTTAAATTTGTATATGATACTAGTTGTATATTCATCAGTCTCATTTAAGAATCATTGTAGCAAAAGAAAAAAAATTGTTTCAATTCTTTTGAAACTTAAAAATATAATTGTTTAGATAATATTGTTTTTAAAGTGTTCAGTCATATGAATAAAATTTTCTTCATTTAAAGTAGCCGATATTCATTGTTCTTCGGGAATTGTTCAATCTCTTTTTAGTTTTAACTTTTATTGTAGTAATTGATAGTGTGTGCCAGTTTGCCTTATAAAAATGAAAAAAATAAAATAACAGAGTATAAAAACTCTTATTGGAACATGTGTGTGTGTGTGTATGTGTTAAAGTTAATTACTATTATCGTCACTATTATCTCTATTTATAAGGAACAAATAAAATATGAAAAATCGGATATAATAATACTAACTAGTACATTTATTTGTTTTTATTGTCTAAAAAATATACTGAAGCAATGGCGGATCCAGCGTACGATCTGTGTTGAAATGTATGAGGGATCTTGCTTTGCCAAATAACTTCAAATAAAATCTGTCTTCAGATGCGAAATAATAAACATTGTCACAAAAAAAAAGTCAATTTACTATTACCTTGAAAGGCGTATTTAAAAATTGCTCATACTGTTGAAAATTTCTGGATCCGTCACTGCATTGAAGAACACTATTATCAACATTATACAGATTTAGTCTAGTATTCGAGAGAACTAAAAATTCTTTAGCAAAATAATCTACTTTTCAATTGCATTCATATCATTTTTCACTACGGTTTGTGAAAGTCTTCTGATATTTTTGATTTCTATAAAATTCTCCCATAGTCGGTTTAAAGATAAATAAAAAGTTTATTTCACATATTTTCTGTTGAAATTTGTATCTAGATGATGAACAAATACATAATGGATAGTTTGATTTAAATAACATATTTTCTATTATCATTATTTTTGAGTAAAGTAATAAAAAAAATGTTTTATATTATAAATTCCCGAGACAATTGATGATTATACATAATTAAACTAGTCTTTGATGATAATGATATATGATTTGATTCCAGGTGAAATGAGGAAGTTCAATATTGAATTAAATAAAAAAATCTTAATTTTCAACAAGAGTTAAATCAGACAGAATAAAAATCTCGACATTTTCAACTATTTTATGATAAATCCATCATTTCCGTTCGTATTAAAAAAAATAAGAAAAAGAAAAAGAAACAATACTTTGTTTGAACAAATCACATTTGTAAAACTTCCTTTTCTATTGTTCATTTTCTTTCTTTTTTTTTTAAAAAACAATGCAATAGATATCTGAAGAAAATAATCTGATGAGAAAATTGCGAGAAAACCCGCTGTCTATCGATATAGCATCATTCTTCTCGATAATATGCTAGCTGAAAGAACAATGACTAGTTAAACTAAACTAAATAATATGAAGAAAAAAAACACAACAACAAAATATTTATATGAAATGTAAAATATAAAAGACGTTATTGATCATAAAATGTGCAAAATTCAACTGTCTAATATTTGGTATATAGAAAAACGCGTGTCAATCAACGTTAATTTTACATTCTTCTACTAGAATACAGAAGAATTTCTTTTCACGTAACCAGAACATGAGTATTATCGATATTTCAATATATAACAGTGAAATTAACATATAAAATATATAAATGACAATGTACTGCGAATAAAAAATAATTTACTCTCTTATAGCCCTAAAGTTCATATCTAAACAGATAATAACCTCTCATCAATTGCTTAAAAAGTCATGCATACCATATAATACTATGTATTTTTCTAATTGCTATTTACACAGTAGTCCTACTAGTTTTTTTAACATGCGAAATGGTCAGCTGGAGGAAATGAACTTATTCACTCGAGTATTATTAAAATGTAATGTTGTCACAAATTATACCAGAAAGAAAGGAGCAAAAGAATGAGAGGAAAATTTTTTTTTTTTTTGTCTTGACTTTGATCCTTCATATACAGATACTTTTCTGTTCATAATTTATCTGACGATTTTAGTAAATGACAAATCAATTTTAAACTACCTCATGTGGCGTAAAAAGAGCGGTATGACACATTTCATGACGAAAAAAAAAAAAAGAGAGAAAAAACTCATGTCTTTTTCTTCTTCTCAGTATTATGTTGCAATCAACGACGATCATCGCTCATCATTTGGCGGTTTGTATTTGTTAATCATGTAATTGCACGGCCAGTGTGCTATACTCAATTTGGGTAATGTATAAGTATAGTAACTGTACAGTACTTGTTGTTTTTTTTTCTCTTTTTCTCCATGAATTATTAAATTGATTAAACAGCTGCTCATTTTTTTTCTTCTTCTTCTTTTTCCTCTTTCAAAAACTTAAATCAAACATTTATTATATGTTTTTTTATATCATTGATACGAACGATGTGTTATTTTTTTAACCATCTATAAATATACAAGTAACTCTTCAACACCAGGATATCATTTCTTTGATGTTTGAATAAGATTTGATCAAAGCACGTGTATTAAACGTTCAATGTTCTAATGAATTTAGTTCTAACTCGTTTAGACTATTCATCGTTTATTAACACCCAAGTCTTCTCATAATAATATTGAAAAAACCTAAATGTTAATCACAAAGAATTTACCATAGAACATTATAACAGAACGATGTACTCTTAAAATCTATTTTAAAAAAAGTATTTTAACATTTCAAATGTTTAACGAAATTTCTTTTCTTTTTTTTTTGTAATTCAGTTCATTTTTTTAAAAATTAATTTTTCACTTACACATGAATTCGATTTTTATAATAGCAACCAAAAACTCGAAATAAAACAATCAAACTTTACAGTTTATTGACTATATTTTTCTAGTCTACTCAAAATTGATAATGAATGATTTGTTTTCTTTGATTATTTTATTGTACCATCGGTCTTTACATTATCGAACACACAATTTTCAATACTATTGATAGCCTTATAGTTTTTATTCTTCTCTTCTATCTCTACCTCTTTTTTTTTTTTTTTGATATAATATGTATATATATTTAATTGATCTCGCCTAGTTGCACGTTAAATGAACCAAGACATTTCTAGTATTGAAACAAATCTTATATAGAAATATATATATATATATATATTTCTTTCTTTCTGTAATAGATATATGAAATTTTGTTTTCTTCTTCTCCAGAGATCGATTATTCTCATAAAGGTATGGTATTCTTACTAAAATTAAACGCATCGTTTAGTTTAGTGTTTGACTTGATCAGGTTTCTCTTACTACAAAAAGAAAAAAAAAATTGTATTCTTTTTTTTTCTTTTATTTTTTTTTAACGAAATTTGAATCCATACAAATATGTAACTAAATGTTTGTATACGATTTTATTTCGAGATTTTGTAAATAGTTTGTCTATATAAATTATAAAAAACACTTTAAGATGTTTTATTATACTTACTAAGCAAGCACATATTATAACCAATACAGTTTTATTCTAAAACAGTATTGTACCATGATTTTGTAGTTATTTGAAGAAAAAAAATTTGACTACCAGTATAACTGACTAAATCGAATTCATTTTATCTTTTAGTTTTTTAAATTTGTTTACTAGAACGAATGATTTCTTTTGAAGATTGACAAAATGTACATATGAATGTTAATAAGCATCTGCTTTTTTTTCTTTGTTATTCATTTGGATACAAAAAAAGAGAAAAATGGTACAACGTTTTTTTTTTTCGTGCTGATGTACAAAAAAAAAAAAAGAGAGAAGAAAAACAAACAAATAGAATAACCCATCCCAAACAAACACGATAGCTCACACTCGGGATGTTTTATGAGAGAACAAAAAATAATATGATTAGTAAAAAACAACCAAATGAGAAAAAAAAAAAGAATGTCGATTGACTGTTCAATAACGTTGATGTTCAGTATTGTTATTATTATTATCCGAATTATTTTTTCCTAGTAATGCTTGTGGTCGATGAATATTATTTGTTTCACCATTTGTGGTTGAAGATATAGATGACGATGAAACGGAGGCTGATGATGATGATGCGGATGTTGTGGCTGCCACGGCAGCTGATAACATACTGTACGGATAATTAGGAACATTTGATAGTCCAGAAAATGCTGCGGCTGCATTAGCCATTGCTAATGTACTATAAGGATTATAGGCTAAAGCGGCGGCTGCTGCAGCATTTGTCGAAGAAAAATCTGTCAATTTTGTTGAAAATGGTGAGGAATAAAATGATGGAGTTGACGATGTTGATGGTAATAAATTTCGACATTTTTCTAAATTCAATGCTAATGAATCATTCAAATGTTGAGATGTAGCCGATGTTAAATCACTTAATGATAGTGGATGATGAGGAGAATGATGATGATGATGATGTCCACTTGTATTTGATGTACCGACTGTTGTTTGAGGTAAACTAAATCCACTGTATGGATGATGAGCAAATGGAAATGGAAATGGAAAACGTTCTTTTTTCATTAATGATTTTGGTTTACGTCTTGGACGATATTTATAATCGGGATGTTCTTTCATATGTAATGCTCTTAAACGTTTAGCTTCATCGATAAATGGACGTTTCTGTTCTTCAGATAATAATTTCCATTCAACACCAAGACGACGACTTATTTCACTATTGTGCATTTTTGGATTTTCTTGTGCCATTTTACGACGTTGACCACGTGACCATACCATAAACGCATTCATTGGACGTTTAACATGATCAGGTGATTTTGAAATCCCCGACATTTGATGATCAATCGTATCAAACAGATGAGCTAAAAACATTAATAATAGGTGAAGAATGGCCATGAAATGAGAAAAATAAACATATTATAATTACCAAATCAATTGCCGTTCTATTAAGAAGAATCTGATTTGTGAAAGTAAGAAAATATAAGGACGGGAATTTGTGACGAACAGTAAATTATCATGCTAGTTTTTGTGTCCCAATAGACAATCTTAGACAAGCTGTGAAGATGTTTGATCGATTCACTTTTTATAAAGATCTAAGGGATATCTACTACTTCGTCTTAAAGATGTGAGTAAATCGGTATGATGTAGACATATATTGAAGAAAAACTTATTTAAAAAGACGAGAATGTTTTAAACTATATTTTTTTATTTGCCCTAGTTCAAAATTATTATTTTAGAAATAAACTTTAGAGCAGATTTTAAGTTTGTCGAAGAAAAGAGAAAATTTTATTATCATCGAGCAAGCAAGATGCTGCTTATTTCGTATGGTTGAGGTAAATAACTTGTGTGGTTATGAAAGGCAACTTCTATTGTAAATTCTACATCGTTGTTCCGAATCTTGATGTCAAAAGACCGTTTGTGCTTTAGTTTACACTGTTATTTCACTTTAAAAAAAGTTGTGATGAAGCAAAATGAGAAAAATGAGTATATCAGATCTAGGATAAAAACGTTATCATCTATAACATCAAGACTTAAACGACGGATCACTTTTCATATCTCAAATCATTTGTGAAACTGTATTTATCATTTCAAAGTTCGTACAAATTGATAAAACTTGTTTTTAGAGCTTCTAAGGCATAAAAATATTTAGACAATTTGTTACTAAACGAGACAATGACATGCTCAAGTCTAAATTGTTAAATGGAGTGTCATGAGGTAAAATGCCTATTGTTTTTGCGTACAAATAAATAAACTTCATAGTAGAATAAATTACATTCTTTGTACTCTACTGATATTTAAATTTACGTTTATTAATTTTAATAAACTTGTCAAATATCTATTTATCTCTTTCTAATGTGAATTTAATCGGTCTATTTTATGGTAAAAAATGAGATTTTATATGTTTTAATGAGAATGAGTCTCATCATATCATGATGATAACAAAAACTCTTTTGTTATAGGTGGCTTAATTATTGTTTGTTACCACACTTATCTCTTTTAGTTTTATCACCTCTACAATTGAATAAATTAATTAGTACTTACTTGTCGGAGTGTCCTTTTTATGAAACAATTACAAATGGACAAATATACCTTTCTTTTTTTTTTCTTCTTCTAAAAGTGAGATGTTAAAAATAGGGAGGACCGTAAATGTATAAAGTTGAAGATATGCTTATAGTTCAATAAAAAAAAAAAAAAAAAAAAAAATAAGAAACAAGATAAACGTTTCATACGTACACATCATTAGTGACGGATACGCTTGACGTAGGATTTTATTATCAATCTTGTCAAACGAACGCACAAAGTTAGGTGAATTGTTGTTAAGTAAATTGTTGGCTGAGCATAAAAAATAAAATAAAAATAATACGAATAGGTATGTGTCAATCAATGTTAAATATGCCAAAATTTTTGGATGTATGAGAGTGTATATGTATGTATATGTATATTACTATAAAGAATAAGACGAATAAAAATAATAATAACAACAACAACACAAGGGGAAAGATTTTGTTCTTTTCTCTTCTCTCTTTGCCACTTATTGGTATATTCTTCTTAGGGTTTTTTTCTTGTGTTATAAAAGATTACAATACGAATCGTTGAAAGCCTATTATATTAAAAATGAAAATAGTTTTTTATATTCTTGAGAACATAATACAAAAAGAAAGAAAAACGCGAAACATAATGACTTGAACTCTCTCTTAACAATTTCTATTCAATTCATTCGAGAGAAAAACGGTTCATTTTTCTTCTTTTCTTTTTTTTTCTATTTAAATGAGAGTGTTATTCTTATTTTATTCAACCTAAAAGAATACAACTATTATGCGTATACATACACATCCAATAGAAGAAAAGAAAAGAAAGAAAATTAAAAATTGTCAAACGATAAAAGGAATGAATTGATTGGGCTATTTTTCTTTTTTTCCTCGGAAACGGGGAATGAAAACATAACAAAATGATTACAATATGTGTCTATTGGTAAAGAATAGAGAAGGAGAGACGAAGAGAAAGAGAGAGAGAGAGAGAGAAGAAGAGAGAGACATATACACATACACACAGAAGCAAATATAAATGAAATGAAATGAAAAGAAAAGAAATTGCTATATTCAAGAGGGCGTATGACGCGCTAAAGAATGAATATTTTGCAATAGAAGAAAAGAATATAAAAAGAGACACTTCATTTTGTGTTTTTCTTATTCTATTGAAAACGTTTTTAATCGAATGCATCTTTTCGGTTTCTCTTTTTCTTTCTCGATGTGCATTTACTTCTAATAATAATAATAATAATAATAATAATAATAATAATGGTAATAATAATAATACAACATACACAAATGCAGCGCAACAAAAACAACACGTATTCTCCTCTTTCTCATTCGCTTTCGCTTCTTTGAATATTGATAAATTGATACATGTTACGCATACAATATTATATAAAATAGAAATGTAACTTAAATTGCAAAATAGATCACCTAACAAAAAATGAAAGAACGGAGCTAATAATAATAAATATGATTAATATCGATAACAACTCAGCTTGTTATTCTTATTCGAAGAAAAATGAGTGGTAAAGATATAGAAAAAGTTATTTTTTGATTTTATTTTTTCAATGCCTTTGAAATTTACACGTAGTTCTGATCGAATAAAAATTTAGGTGTATTTCTATGACTGATTAGAAGGTTATGTTTCTGTCCTTTTTAGTATAAAATTCCGAACTTCTTTAGAAAAACCGAACTAGTTTGAGTTTTTTCTTGGTACACTGTGAAAAACAAAATGTGTAGCTGAAGAGAACGGTTCCTATTTCTCAAGTTTGTTTTTTAGAGCGGTTTTAAAATGCTACACTGCGGAATACTTTTAGCACTTCATCTCGGTACTTTCAAAAGTGACCTTTTTTTTCAAAAGTATTTTATTGTAAATCACTTGTAAAAAGTGTTTCTCTGCTACCTATTTTAGACATGATCTTTCTAGAAAGTGTCCAGTGGAAAAATGGCTTCTAAAAAGAGCGGTTTTCGATACAGCTCTGTTTTAGAATGTAATCATTCTATTCGAATTATTATTTATCCGATAAGGTTCAATGACACTTGTCTGAATTTGTAAACCAAATCAAAGTCTGACTATCTCCCACTATTTGGTGTGAAATGTTCAAACAAAATGTTGAATAAAACAGTTAATTTTTATAATATCAGGTAGCAATAGACACATATTTCTACTGGTTGACCTTTTTTTTTAATGAGCATTTCATGGAAATATACATAGAGCTGTGACAATCACAACTGTGCAGCCAACGTCAACCAATAAGACGAGGTAATTACTCTTTCATTTTTTTCAATAACGTAGATGTTTGGAACGTGCTAAGGATATCATAAATGTCACGTTAATTATTTGTGCAAGTCCAAGCTGTAGATCTCTTACTGTGTTAAAATGAATAATAAAAAGTAATGTTTATTTTCAGAAAAAAAGTAAGAAAGCCTAAGGAACATGACCTTGAACATGATATACTCTAAATAGAGTTTTTTTTCAAATCCCAAAAGTATTTTGAACTTTTTCCCTATGAAAACGACCTTTTGGTTGGAAAAAATCTTTGTTTTTGTAGAAAATAGGAGTATGAAAACGAAAATTCATCTCTTACTCAAAATCTAATCAAATTATTTGAAACTTTCAGAAAATATTCTTTTAGACTTGATTTGCTGTTTGACAAAGTTACAAAGGTAAAAACTTTTATTTTGCTATTCTCAACGTATTTAGAAATTTTTTCTGAAATCCGTTGTGAGAAAAAGAATTGAAAGTTTTTTCAGTATTCTCGGCATATAAGATCCAGAATGATCGACAGTCCATGCTTTTATTCAATTCGAAAATAACTCTATTTTAATCAAGTTAGAAATGAGCGAATACCTTACGACAAAATGAATTCTCTTGTATAGACAAACGCAATATTCAGTACTAATCTGTTGTTAGAAAAGTGTCTTGAAATAGTGTAAAATAGTAAATTGACTAATCCTTTGACATTTTTTTTTCATAGACATTCTCGATGTACAGGTATACAGCGTACTAAATAAGACTGAGTTAAAAGATAAATTGAACAAGATAAATAAATTTTATATCCAAAATCGGATTCTCCACAATCTCTTTTCAATCATTTAGTGAAAATAAAATATTTCTTGTTTAATTTAAACCTCATTATAATGAATGCGTATCATCTTTTTTAGACTCAATGTGTTCAACGTGGTGTGCTCGTGAGTGTATGTATGTGTTGAATTTAAAAAAAAAACGTGAAAAAAACGACAACTAACTCATAATGATTGTTAAATAGTCTGTGTCTTTTCTATTTGACATATCTTTGATTTACTATTTATAATGTTAAAATGAGGCGCATATATGACACGTAAATGACGTTTTTTTCTTCTTTTTTTTTTTTTTTGTCCTTTTATACACGTAATCACATACAGAGACATTAAATATAGTTTAAACTTCTATCCGGTGTATGAAAATATTGTTCACATAAATATAGAAAAGAAAAATGTGTTCTTTTTTCACACTATGCATAACAATAAAATCTTTCTAAATGAAAAACTTCTTTTTTCTTAGAGAAAAAAAAAAAAAAAGGAAAAAAAAGTTACTTGAAATGTTTGTCAAACTTTATTAAAACAGGAAGTAGAAAGCGGAAAAACTTATCAAGAAGAAAAATAAAATAATAAGAAGTTAAGTTCATGTTGTTGAAAAGAGACAAAAATAAAACAATTTAACAATGCCAACTAATAATGATCAGCCAGGCGTCTACAGTCAAAAAGGATATTGATTAATAATGAATAAGACACATAATAAAGAAAAAAATTAGTTAGAAAAAAGGAAGAACATATCTTTGTATTGTCTAAATTTGAATAGAAGTCTTTTCAATTTTAATA